TACACAGCGCTGCTGCCAGTTTTCCTCTGTGTCTCACCCTTGTTCTATGGACTGAAAGGTAAACGACATGTTTGGGGAAAATAAAAAAGAATGGGGCCTTCTGAATCCCCAAAGCAACCTGGCAGGGAGATTGAGAGGCAGAGAGGTGGCCGTGTCCAAATTTCCCTGTAAACAAATGATTTTTGAGAGGTAAAAAATTCCACAGTTTTGTATATAAGCCTGGAGGTGCTGGAAATCCCCAGCTCATCCTGCTGGGGACATTAAAGGACCGCATGAAGCTACACAAGAACATTCAGAATTTTCCCCAAAATTTTGGCCCCTGTATAACTGACACTTGGCAATTATGTGCTTTTTTGCATATGAACCAAGTTTCCAGCTGAAAGACTGCAGGCTACTGTGTTACATTTACAAAGATATTTTATAAGGTGACAGGCCGAAAAACAGTTTGCAAATGCAAGTTCATCTTGAAAATATTTTTTTATATCTGTGTCTATGTGATGTCCTGTAGAATGAGACATGTTAACTGACACAGATCATGCTCTTAATGTGTCACTGACCTCTTAATGCACTCTGAAATTCTGGAGATAAAGCAAAGGGATGGACTTAAAGTGTCCTAGAAAATCAGTTCAGCCATGACAGCAATACTTGTCAGGTTAAGAACTGCTTAAACCTAGATGATTTGAATGAACCAGAGATGGTTATAAATACTCTTCTGAATGCAAATGTGTTTTCAGTTTGGGATATGAGCTACAGATTTGGGTGTTCTGCTTCAAAAGGGAAAGAAAAAGCTTCAGATGATGTGGTATTTTTCTTTTTTTGAGTTAAAATGCATTTTCATAAGAAATATTGATTCTTCCAAGACATTAGGAAATTTTCTTCCTGATCAACATTTTCTGTTTTTTTTCCAGGCCTCAGTCACTGAAAAATGAACCCAAAGAGGAAAGGCAGCCCAGGGCAACCCAGCCACATCCTGCTGCAGAGGAGAGCAGAGAAGATGGCAAAAGAGGTGAGGGTGAGCCAGCTGCAGAAAGAGGGAACAGGCTCTGCTCTCTGTTGTCAGGACACTGTCAGAGGATGTGGGAGCAGCCCTCAGACACCACTAAATGTACAGCTGCCCCAACACAGAGTTTGGTGCAAAATGTTTGCAGAGGCCAGTGCAAATACTTGTGTAGCTAACCCAAGAGTGCCATGCTGTCAGGATTGCCCAGTTCTGTTACCTCCCTGTGTTTGCAAGGAGCATTATACCCACACAGTCTGCAATCTCTGCTGGCCAGTACACCTACCCCATAGATGCCTTTGGAGCCTACATGATTTCAGTAGATCCTGACTATGCTGCTGTGGGCCACTGGAAGAAAAAGCCCATCAGCAATACAAGCTCGCGTTTTATCTGCAACAAGTCCCTTCACATCCCACTTTTTGCATCATCCTGCTTTCCTAAGGGCATTATCAGGAGTATTACTGCTGCTCTGCGGTCACACTCACAGCAGTGCCTGCATCCCCTTCGGGTTAGGGTTTAAAGAGTTCACAGAGGCGATGCAGGCTGTTGCAAAACAGACAGTCAGAGTTTAATTTACCGACAGAGATACAATCTAAACAGCTACAGATTTCCTGGGCATTTCTGCACCTCTCTGAGCCTCCTGTGTGGCAGCGGGAAGCTTTGCTGCCCGCGCAGCATTTGCTCAGGTTTTCCACGTGGGAAATGTGCAGCAAATAAAGGAACTGGGATGCAAAAGAGTGGCAGCTGCTCTAGGACTGTTAGAGAGGCTCTTTTACAGGCGAATGAACCGTCAATTTGTAGTAAGACATTGTTTTCTAAACATAGCATGAAAACTGTTATCTTGCCTGGCTGGTCATTAGAAGAGAGATAATTATAGTCTCTGTGCGACAGCCGGGCTCAGAACAGGGGCTGCATTGTCCCAGGTCCCAGCTGAGCTCTAGCACAGGCTCCCCAGGCAGCGCTGGGACAAGAGGGCTCCTTGTGCCCCGGCAAGTTCAAAAGAGGAATTGAAGTGCTCTAAGTAGGTGTTAAGCACCTATTTCTCTCTCTGACTCCGGACTTAAAAACTACTCTATAAGAGAAAGGTGCAGAGGTCTGTAGCTGCATCCTCCCTGGCCTTATATAGAATATGTGCTATGATTATTATTCTTTTTTCTTAAAAAAAAAAAAAAGGCCCAAAGCTTCAGTTTTCCGTTTATTTTGGTTTTGTTCTGTGTTTCTGTTTTCCAACACTGATCATTGAGACCTGTATGATGACAGGCTCTCAGAAAGAAGGACATATTATATGTTCAGTGTCCACTTCCTGAGCCCTGAAGGGGAGGTTTAAACCTCAGTTTATGCTGCAGTATGCCAGAGAAGTCCTGGAGTACCCAGAACTTCAGGGTGCCAGAATATCTTGCAGGACCATCAGGAAATCCCAGACTATTGCTTTCTACCACCCATCCAGAAACGACACTGCCACCCCACGCAATTGCAATGGGCCAACACACTCCTCACTGCTCTGGCACCTACTCATGACAGTACCACTGTACTGGGATTTCACATCCGTGAGTGTCAAACCTTTCTTTTTTCAGGAATACAGTCATAGCTGCAGATAGTAAATTGAGCTGTCACTTTTTCTTCATCATTTCATCCAGGTGCTTTCACTTATGTCATGTAAACTGAAAGATTAGTAGGTTTAGACTAGATATTAGGAAGAAATTCTCCAGCATGAGAGTGGTGACACACCAGAAAAGGTTACCCAGAGAAGTTGCGGATGCCACTTCCCTGGAGGTGTTCAAGGCCAGGTTGGATGGGGCTTTGAGTAACCTGGTCTGGTGGAATTTGTCCCTGCTCATGGCAGGGGGTTTGGAACTAGATGGTCTTTGAGGTTCCTTCCAACCCAAACTATTCTATGATTCTGTGATTTAGGAGACTTTTGGTAAAACAGGAGACTTGAACATGCATATTCTAAGCCTTAGGTTAACATGAAAAGCTCCTGGGCAGTATTTTCTGACTATAGCTTTTTTTGTGATTCAAACCTGGAAAGGAAAACATTTGAATTCTCCAGGCAGGCAAGATACAGTCAAGTTTTTTCTGTTATTGTTACATAAACTTCAGGTTTATTTTTAACAATGTTTTCCAAAAGGCAATGGCCAGAAATAATAAATAATCTGATGTTTCCCATGGAGTAATTACCCTGTTTTCCTAGCTTCTGTGTTCATACTGTGGCTCAGGCAATCCCCTTTTAGAAATACTCCAGTTAATTTTGACAAAAAGGAGTGTAAAAATTAATTTCCATCTACTTTTGTGAAAGTAAGTAGCTGGGTGAAGAAGGAACACCTTGTTAATGTCTCCTCTAAAGAAAAGGCTTTACTAGAACACAAGAAAATCCACACAGGATATCTTTCATGCATTCCAAGTGTGAGGAAACCTGGTATAGCTAGTAAAACTAATTGGTTTGACCAGCCAGTGGTGAGTAATGTGTAATACCACTAGGAACAGAAGTGTCTTACATAAAGTAAAGGTAAGAACAAGTTAAGAGCAAATTAAGAACACAACAGTACTTCTACAGGTGGAAACACAAAGCAATATTCAATTATATTGGCAGGACAGTAAAAGTTTCTTTAAAAAAAAATATTTCTCTGGCTTGAATAGATGAAAAATGGCAAGATTTTTCTGTCATTCCAGTGAGAATCACTTCAGCAACTCAAAGGATTAGATAAAACATGAGAGTAAAATAAATCTGTTTAAAATATGATACTAATTTAATATTTGAAAATTAATGTGTGTGTGTGATGCAATTATTTTTGCTAGAGTTCTGTTTGCATCTCTGAAAGAGATTAGTCTTATAGCCATAACTCCCATTCAAGTGATGAACTGAGTGAAGCCAGAAGAACATGATACTACAGATACAGAAAAACATTCTCACAGACTTTCTGTGAGTGTAGTCAAATGCAAGGTGTTTTTAACTTTGGGATGTATATAGTAAAATACAAACTATAAACATATATGACTTCATGGCTAATCTCAGTAACATGTATTTTAAAAGCCATCTGAACTACTTTTTCTCTGCGTGTGCTTTCTTGTTGTGGTGTTTTGTTTAAATTTTGGAGAGGTTAGAGAAAAAGAAGTGTGCTCCAAGGAGGACCTGCCTCTGTAATCTGTAATTCTGCTTTTTGCTCTAAATGTGGCATAGTTCCCATAAACTCTAGGAACAAAATATTAACTAGAGTTGAAAGTTTGCTCGGGGCATTTGGTTCGTGTTTGTACTAGTCTGAGAGAAATCACATTTCGAAGAGACTTATCAAGACTCTAATCTCTCCACAGAGAGCTGAACGGCTCTGGCAGGCTTGACAATGCTATTCATTTTTGGAGCCTCACCAGCAAAACAAGCACTCAGCACAAAAGGATGTATAGTGTCTAGGCTACTGTACTGTTCATACATCTGTATCTATCCATCTAGCAAGGGAGTTCACATCATAGAAATACACATCACCAGAACAGTACCATCCTGTACCTTGGAGATGAGTGTTCCCCAGTGTCAGGTAGTGTTAATTAATGATACAACACACACCTTCCTGTTTATCAAAGAGACAAAGTATTGAAAGCAAAACCGTTTTAAATTTAGGAACAAGTTGCATTGCCTATCACACGCTATTTCAACAGAAGGCATATAAATGCCTATTGGTGTGTGGCTTATATACACCATTCCTCAGCACATAGTTAAGCCCTTGCTGTTCAGGCAGTGAGTATATGTGTCCACTCTAACAGTAGGAGCTTAATGCTTTTATAAATACTTTATGAAGTATATATAATGTAAAGTACAGTTTCATTCTACATTTGTGTCTTCATCTTCTTAAGTCTTTGATCCTAAGCACATAGCTCGAATGTTAAATAAAACATTATGTCCCTACAGTTTCTCAGCAGTGAAAATATTTAACTATTATCAACATGAAAAAAAAAACCATCTTCCCCCTCTACCCCCTAAATAAATATAGCAGAGAAATTACATGAGAATTACCTTGCTTGAGGTGTGCAACTTTTTATTCCTTTTCTCCACACAGTATGAAAGTGCTATTTTTTCCAAGCTTTTCTGTACCCCAAACTCCAGCCAACATTATTCTACAGAAGGAGAAGCAGGCAGCAGAGGGAGGCCTGGTCACCTTTTTTCTTTCAGAGAGGAGCTAATCAAACATTCCCATCAAGCTCCCAGCTCTGTGAAAGGCACATTGCTCTCTCTCTCTTGCCCTCCCTCTCTCTGCTCCTCTCTCCCTCTCTGTCTCCCTCCCTCTGTCTTTCCCTCTCCCTCCCGCACACACAGACGTGCAGAGTTCCTTACACTGATTTAGCAGCTGAATTAGGCAGTCCTATTTTAAATATATGTTCCCTCCCACATATTTTTGGTAGGGATTTCTGTGCTCCTTTTGCACTAGCCTGTCAGATTTGTCAAGTTTTTCTCTTTTGGGAAGTGAAGCTTTACTCAACTGATGTTTTGGTTGAATCTTTTTGTCTTCCATTCAGTTCAGCATTGTAGTGAAAGGACAAGAACTAATAGATGAGAGTAAACCACACAACTCTAAAGATTTTAACTAGCAGATTAGTTAGGTGCAGATCAGGTTTAAAGAGAAAAATATATTTTGAAGAGACAGACTGTTTTACCTTTACTAGTGTGAATAGCATCGTATTCCCTCAACAGTTTCCCTGAGGTCAGAGGATTAGTGACAGAGCAAGTCTGTGAGTCTGGTCATAGAGAAGTAGAAGTATGGCATGAGGGTTCTTTCTCCAGTTGGGTTTGAGAATTTCATAAAATGCTCTCAAAGGCTACTAACTGGCACTCATTAAGTTTGACCTGGCCAAATGAGACATACAAAATTACTAATTTCTTTGAATATATCTACACAAATCTCCTAAAATGATTGGATAAATTTAAGAAGAAAAATTCATTGAGAGAATCAAAATCACAGCATTTACAAGATTATCAAAGGAAGTGCTGCTGTCATATTCCAGGATGCTGGAATGCAAACTATAATTTTCAATTACATCTAGGTATTCAGAAGTGCATAAAACATACACTGTTTTATCTAAGATCATTGGTGAAAAAAAATCTAGTACAAATAGAGGAGATGGAGTTCAAAATACGCTTTAGAAAGACATGTAATTCATTATGTAATTATCCCCCAAATATATTTAGTTTAAGAGAAAGTGATTACCTAGTTTTAAATGAAAGTGATTACCTGTAAAAGTAATGAAAAGTAATGAAAGTGATTACTTGTAAATCTCTACTCCAGTACTTACGGAAACTGTGTAAGAGTTCAGACATATTAATGAACAGTACAATATCAAAAGTGTATTAGGACTTTCCAACTGTGTTACTAAGATATAATGATCCATAAATTCATTGGATTCTCTTAATACAGAAGTTCAGGCTTGCCATGGTAATTCCTAGTGAGTCAGAATGCACTGGACTGGCAGGAAGCCTCTTCAGTCAGCAAATCTTTTAGTAGACCTACCTAGAATATCTACTAAAAAACCCACAAAACCCAAATCCAAAATTCTTATTAATTCAAGTTAAAACTTTCAGAATATCATCACCCTTTTCATAAGGCTTTGTGAGGTTTAATTCTTCAAATAATTCATGGCCAAAAGGATAACGCAGCAATGGTCCACGCTGCACCCACCTGCCCTCTCACAGCCTGGCTGGCTCTGCTCATGGCTTGGAGTCAAGGATGCTGCCAGTGGGCTGGCACATTTCTGCAGTGCTGCCTGCGAGCTAACCTGGCATCCTGGAAATGAGCATCCTGGGAACTGTGGAACAGAAACACTAAGTGGGCAGAATAAGAAAAACTGTCTTGTTTGTTATTATTCAGGGTACTCAGCCTCTCATAGTCATTTGTAATGGAGAGCTGATGAGTATCAAAACAAAACACTGAGGAGGGCACTAGCTGTCTCTTTTTATCACAGAATTTCTGAGTGCTGTTGCCTGTGCTCTTTCCTGACAGAAAGCCATTTCCAGCCACCCAAGAGCTGGCAACACAAAGTGCAGGAGGAAGAGGTGGACCACATTGAATGGCTCCATTTTGCTGCTGGGACTTGCCAGAGGGAAAGATTTATTTGCAAAAGAGGTGACCATGCCATCAGGAAGCCACTACTTTGAAAACAGTAGGTATTGAACACAGTTGTCCAGGGGAGGGACAAATACTCCGTATATGTATGTGTTCCTGTCTCCCACCATTGCTTCTAGTCTGTTTTCTGCTGTTAGTGCTGTTTGTGGTAATGGTTTTTAAGTTTTACTATGCAGTATTTTCATTTCCTTGTAAGTTAAAGAAGGATTTAGCATGATCTATTGAAAAGAAGCCTGAAAGCAATGGAATGCAGACCTCTAACCTATTCCCTAAAATGTGAAGGCACCATCAGAGACGGCTGTAGCTTTGCACTTGTATGTCCAAATTCAGTCCAAGTTGGTTACTGACTTAGTCCATAATCTTTTCTTCATTGATGATCTTTCTTTAGTGATTTACATGAACAGGTCAAACTTTTGTAGAAAGGGGAAGAGAAAAAGCTTTTACTATGTAGTAGGTTCATATAGTAGGTTAAAATATAAGCGAGAGCAGAGGATGATGACTTCAAAGGCCATAAATTGCTTCCAAGAAATCTGTGCAAAGTGATGACAGCTATATAGATCCTGTGGAACAGGTGTTTTCTGCAGCCCAACCTGCCATGCTCCATACCCCAACACTCAGGAGGAAATTCTGACTCCATAGGTGTAGGCATAGACGAAAATCATCTCCATCCATGTTATAGAACAAGATATGCCTGCACAATTTTTAGAGGAATCCAGACTTTGTCTGGGAAATTTTTAGTGGGAAAGTACAGATTCTCTCACACACTTTGTCCCACTTGTGACACCCAAGGTGCACACTGCTCTTCTGGCATGGGGCTGTGGCCACACTCCTAAAACCATTAAATCATTTGCTCTCTAGGTTATGAGTAGGGAATATATAAGGAATCAAAGTGACCCAGGACTGAGATAACTGACCTGTGATCATTACACAGAAACTGTTGAATGTATGTTCTCAGCTGACCACCGTAGGCTTACTAAGTCAGTCCTGACTCTGCATAAAAGGACAGAAAACAGAGAAAAATGATTTCTGCAAGATGACACATAGCTATGTCACATCTAATCCCATTCAGGTGCTTAAACAGAAAGAAACAAGTTTTCTGCTCTCATACAATTACCCTCAAGCCATTTCAGCCAAATACTACCACAGGAATCAGAGAGCAGAATCTTACAACACCCCAAGATGTCACGCACAGCTTGGCAGTGCCGGCTCTGTTCAAAGATGGCACTGTCACACATGTTAGTGTTAACTCCTAACAAGTGTCAGTGGAGTTCAAATTCTGCAGTTCTTCTACATTTCTCAAACTCTGTGAAATAAAATCTTGACTTATGCATTATTACACTTCAGGTAAATTGTGCTTGAAAACTATTTATTACTGAAGAAAACAAGCCATGGGGACAACACAGTAGGAAATAGAAAGTATAATTGGAATGGTAAGGCTACTAGGGGGTTAACATTGTTTGGCTTTAGCTGCTTAAAGCACTAATATCGAAATTGACCTCAGGTAAATAAAATAACCAATGTCCTGTAGGGCTTATATAAAATACACTGACGTGTTTGTCTAGTGTTTGAGAAAGGTAGGGAGGCTGAATTATGTATGCTGTAGCCCTTGCCAGCATCAGAAACTTCTTTAAGTAATTAGAGCAATTGAGTAGCCAGGCCTCTGTTTTTTGTGGTTTTTTTTTTTTTTAATGAATGAGGAGACCTCATGGGCCAAATGAATGCATAATGTTGGCATGCCTGGCTTAAATGGATGGATACCAAACATGCACTATGTAAATTTGAACTGCTGGGTGTTTCTCAGCAAAGATGGCAATGGCCATGTTTCCTGAGACTGTAGAGAAGCAGGGCTCTGTTAGTAAGTCCCAAGTCTCCAGTTCATTTGTTTACCCCACAGAGCAAACAAAGACAAAAGATGACAAAAGGTGACAAAAGGTGACAAAAGATGACAAGATCTTTTTCGTTTTGGCAGGATGCAATGTTCAATTGAGAGCTGATAAACTCTTTGCCCTGGATTTCATGCAGCATACGGGGGGGAATGAGGGCCTGGGAGCCTGCCATCCCAACTGGGCAGGCTAAAAGAATGAGGATTAATAGTGGGGCATGGGAAAGAGACCCTTTTCTGTGACTGACACGTGGAGAACTCAAGTCTTTCCAATTGAACAGTGACCATTGTAACTGTCACGAGTTTTAATTGTTGGGGAGGTTATTAAAGTTCTGGGCAGTCACTTTTGGAAACTTTTGACCTTGCCTTCCTCTGTAAAAATCAAAAGACATAAAGAAGAGTGAACTTTACTTGGAAGGAGAATTTTATAAGGCATTTGAGTGAACTCAGAAATTATTACTATCTGTAAGGAGTGTTTGTATACTCTGAGAGCAATTTAATGTGTACTGCATTAGCTGTGGGCATGCAGACAATACTAGTTAGGACCAACAAGTCAGGTGGGTTTGCTTATAGATCTGTATCAGAAAGAAGCAGTGCTCAGATATTGCTTTCATTTAATTTTTTCAGGATATCTCTATAGGAAAAAAGAAAACAGATGGAGGATGTTCTTGCCCTTGAAATACAACAGGAAGCTATCATGGACATCAAGAAATCTTCATTATTTTTGCCATGCAGCTGAATCTACCCGTATGTCCTAAACCTCACATTCCCAATGCCAGATTTAGAACAGAGGTTGCCACAAATGCTGTGTTGAAACATAAATTAACAGTAAATGCAGGGACTGGAAAAGCCTTCAACACCTTTGGGATCAGGAAATGCCAAGGGTGGCTAGTGAGGAGGAGTTTGATTTTACTGCGTCCACAGACCTTTGGATCTGAAGAGGTGTAACCAGCTTTCAAAGCTGTGTCATTATGGAGGTGGGCTGTGATGTTTGTATCTCACTAGTATGCTCTCAGAAACCATGGTGCTGCCACAATGGAAATCATTTTTAGGTACCATTTTTTTGGCAGAACTTGCAATTACTACAAAAGTGTATGGTGACTGAACAGAACTGGGTCTGTAGGAAGTGCAGCATATGGACTTTGTTCATCTAGAATCCAGTGTAGGTGGGGATTGAGTCTTCCCAGGATAAGTGGGATATATTTCATTGCTCTGCTACCTTGTATAAAACCTAATTCAGCAG